AATAATAAAGATATCACTTAGGGAAACATTGAAAACCAGAGAGGAATACTGCTCAGCTGTCTCATCCTAGTTTGGGACTACACTTCAGCAGTACGCATCCATCATCCCACAACCTTCAAGTTACAGGGCGGTCTCGTTGACCATTCAGCCACACCAATGGAATCCAATGGCCCAAGAACTCTGACTTTTATCCATTCGCGACTAGTGACTGACTACAGGATGAAGTTGCCTGGAATTCTGGTGAGATGTTGTGACCGATGAGGTCCACCAAGTCGGGTGTGAGGACAAATACTCGCTAATTTCATTGGTTGGTGGTGCTTCTATATATTGCGAGATGACAAAAGTTAGATTTGACTGGCCATTGGACTCCTTCTAATTGACTGAATGGTACACAAGCTCTCTTCGAAACCTGAATGCCGTTGGTTCAGTCTCCTCCTTGGATGTCGGGTGAGTACTGATGAAGAAAAAACAGCCGTACAGTCCTCCTTGGTTTTTGATGGTCCTCTAGCTGGTATCAGTCTCTGATCACACTTGAAACCAATCAATACCTTAAAAAAATGCACTTGAAGAAGAACATAGAACCAAAATTTGAAGCTGAATACCTAGAAATGTATGAGCAGTGTGTTCTAACAAATGTTTTTATTTGTTGAGGTTAGTTTGTCTCAAGTTTAGTTCCATCAGGAACTGACATCAGCATTAGAGAACCACTGAGAAGCAGAGAGGAGTAGTGGACAGCTCCTTCGTCCCAGACTGGGACTTTTTCAGCAGTTTGGACCCATGAAACTCGGTTCCTAACAGTTTTCTAGTACCCTCTGGTTTTCAGCGGTTCTCTAACTGTGATGCCAGTGTGTGATGAAATCTAACTAGAACTAGTACTCTTAAAAGTGAACGTTCAATTTAAATGGCACTGAAGGACGTGTAAAACACAATCGTGACAGGAATATTTATGGATGATTGGAAGATGTATAAATGACACATTTATAGTACTAAAACTTAAGAGTATAAACTTTATTTAGCTTACTTACAAGATAAAATAGAAATTTGAAATTTATTGTCGACCGTAAAGTTAAACTATATGTCAGTTACAATAAAAGGTTTAGTGAAGTTCTTAGGGAATAGAATAAAGGTGATCGAAAAACGAAAACCAAAAAGGAAAACAACAGAAACATTGCAGATTTTGTTACAAAAATGACTTAATGTACATTTTCAGTTAAAAATCCAACAGAATACTCCAGTATTTGAGTATATCAATTTACTGTTCGTTAGCTACTGGCTTCAAGGTGGATATCCTAAAGTTTTATCAGGCAGTCGTGACTGACAGGCTTCATCCTGAGGAATGAGGCATTCATTAACTGAAGTGGTTGGCCAATATAACTTATGGACAGGACTTAAACTCCAACTATTTGGATAAATAATAGGCATGATCTGCTTGTAATCTAGTAACACTCAGTTCAATCGCTAATGTTATCACAGAGGCACATTGTTAAAGAAACTTAAACTAAAATGTAATAGACGTCTAATGCTTTCTGATTCGCAATGATTCTTCAACTGATATCGACAATATCCATATTGAAAATGATTTCATTTAAGTTATTCTTACAGCAGGAGTGTTTATCTTTGACTGAACACTAAGCAGTAACTAATTTCATGCGTCTAATCCTTCTTTTGGTGTAGGATAATTTCTGTCAGTCGATATCGCAATGTGGCTTCTATGCTAAGTGGCTCGCCAATACAGTGCATTATGAACTGTTGTTAGATGGTTGGAGGCAAACAGCAGGAAGCCTCCGACCTAGATCTCGTGCTTGTTGCCACTCGTCAGCAGGCTTTATCTGCAAAATTAAAGGAACTCATGTCCCTTCTGAGATTTGAATCTGTGTCACACAGTTCTGCTGTCAGAGACATTACCATTGAGTTATTCGGACTCGTGAATGACCTCCTGTAGAAATTCATTCTGTAGCAGACGAAGAAATAGGCGCATAGCATTAGTTACTACCTAGTGCTCAATCGAATTATCCATTATAGTCTTACAGAAGGTCAATCGCGGGCCCAAATAACTCAGTCGAAATGTCTAAGATTGCAGCACTGTGTCGCACGAGTTTGAATCTCAGGGAGGGCGGATGGCACGTGTGCCAATAAGCAAGAAACCTAGATCCGAGGTTCCCTGTAAACTCCCTCTAAGCATCTAAGGACAATTAGGAGCAGTTGCAAGCCACAGTGAATGTTAATTGGTAGAATTCAACCCACACAAAATGAAGGATTAGACAAATGACATTACTTACTACACAGTGACCGATCAAGGAGCTTCAAGTCTATTCATCTCTACACCTTTTTTCTTTTCAGGCTATATACAGTTGTTCTATCTACATGATATTAATGGAAATTAGGTAGGTGGCTAACATTTACACGAAATGCAAATATTGTAAACATTTTTTGTAGGATTATACAAGAGTTGGCTTTATCTTATGCAAATCAGTGTGATAATGTGTGTGTGTATGTTCGTGTGTGCAGCCGTGAAGGTTTTTTTCACAACCAACTCATATTTCATGATTAGAAAATATGATATCAAGTGAAGTCTACTCATCAAACTGCTCCATCAATTATAATCACCTCCCCTCACCAAAAAAGATATAGCAAAAACATTTGAACGAAGAACAAGCGTAGCTTCATGTGCATAACTGACACAGGACACTTGTTTTGCAGACAACTCTCATGTCTTAGCACTGCTGCATTGAGTAACAATAAATGTGGAAAAAAAGAAAGATATCAGGGTTAAGAAGATGGGATTTGAGTAGTAATTTCAAAAGGAAACAAACTATGGTTTTCAAGGTGGTCTAAGATCTCTAAAACTAACTTTTTTTCATTCCTCTGAGTTTCAAGCAGAACATAGGGTTTCAGGCTTGAATTTTCAGTAGTAGTGGTATTTTTTCATAGGATGAGGTTGCTAGCTTCAAGTTCGAACTTCTATATTAATTCCCGGCTGACTCTGTCGACTTTCGAACTGGGAGATGCTTAGGAGTGTGTCAGCCAGGAATCGAACCCTGGACCACTGGTGTGATCGGTAAGCATCCTACCACTTAACCATCACAATTAAAACTGTTCTGACACGTTTACATTGTCATGCTTTTACTACGACAATAGTATTGCTGTCAACAGCAGTAAAATTGGTCTTTTAGTTCATCGTCTATCACTCGGTGGATGTAGACTATCTAAATGATTGACAACACAAACACAGGATAAAGCAGTCTAAGAATTATTTTATTATTTCTGCATTGTTTCTCATTGTTTCATTATCTTCTTATTGATTGATGTCAAATGCTCAAATGCCATCAGAACACTTGAATGGGTTTATATCTGTCAAAATATCATTAATTAATTAACATATGTGTAAAACTTGGGCACCATGACAGTGTGTAATTCCATTTAGATTTGTTTATTGGATTATTTAGAAGATGACGTTTTAAACGTCATAATCAAGAAGTAGGTAGGTAGTTGTAGGATAAAACTAATAATAATGGCAGTGATAACAATAATAATAAGGACGATATCTGTGGCAGAAATAATTAGAAATATTATATCACCAACAGTAGTGTTTCTATACAAGGAACGAACCTCGGAAATATTACGTAGAATTCTTAACAATATAGAAATAAAAGTGGCACTCAAACTCACAAACTCAATACGAAACAAGCATTACTGGTTAAAGGATCCTGTGGAGTCAGTTAAACAAAACAATTCAGTTCATTTAATAAATACCCTACCTGCAATGATTGTCAGGTCAGATGCATAGGTGGAAGTAGTAGAACGGGGTCAGTCAGTCAGACTAGCGGAGCACTAAAACCTAGCAAAATCTAGATTAGTTGACTGTAATGTGATAAGGAATCTGGAGAACAGTTCAGCTATATAAAGCACTACATCACATGCAATTACACACAACCATACAATACGGTACAATGGGATGGTATAGGATAAGATGACAGTTCTAAGATCTAATCTAATCTAATATAACAGGGTGGAGGGAGAGATTGATAACTGAAGCTCTACTTATCGAATAGACTGACATGGAATACGTGTAATAGGAATGATTCAACATCTGTCCATCCGGACATCTGAAAAATTCTACTACTCCTATGACGAACAGGAGAGAATAAAGAAAACTATAAAACTCAAGTTTCGAAGTTGTGTGGTTATAATTGATATGATTATGAACAATAAATTGTGTTCCAAACGTCATCCAGTAAATGATACTGTTTCACTGTGTGACATATCTAATGAACAACTTAATATGGAATCTTAACTCAATTGTTCCCGATGTCGAATACTGTGAATTGTTTGCACGAATGGTGTACGATCTACTATTCCTTTTCTCTGAAATCAAATTAGCAAATTTGCAATTTACACAGTTCGAGGAGGTGAAATTCCACCACAGTTTTCTTGGGAAATCGAAATTATTCACATCACCACAATATGTGATCTGCTCAATACTACAAGCATAAATGCGCAAAACTGAATGGTGCTGATTGATTGGTATGAGTAGCTGTATGTCACTCACATGAACCAGTAGTGCTTGGTAGCAAGATTTCACCTCCTCGAACTGTGTAAGGTGCAAATTGTGAATTTCACTTATAGTGTTACCGGTTAGTCCAAGTAACTAATTGGAATTCGGATGATTTGACTTGATTCGGCTCCCTGAGCTGAATCAAACAGCATACACCTTTGAAGAGTTCAACCCGAAACGAGCGAAACGGCCATCCGGTCTTTAGACCACCACAATGTGACTGGATAGTGAGCACTACTGGCTCATGTGAGTGGTAAGCAACTACTCATGTCAATAGTCAATTAGTACTGTATGGTTTCAAGCATTTATTCTTCTCTGAAATATCAATAAAACAAAAACACTGGGATAAAACAGAAATTAAGTTAAAATATACAACATTGTTGGAGTGGAGGAGGGGGAGGAGAGAAACCCAATCAAAAGTTACATCAAGTCAATTAACACTTACCAGTTGACGTGTTCCCAATGTAAATAAGGCATAACTGGAATAATAAAAGACAATTCCGCAACCATGACAACCGACAGACTAATTTATTCAAACTATTCCTTGATGATTTATTAAAAAAAGTCATTTGTTAATTTGTAGTTATTCTTGTCCTTTTTAAAAATGTCGGTCAGTATATTCCACACTTCAATGAAATAATATTCTGCTCAATGTAGATATAATATACCTTTACAGTGAATTTATTGTCCTCTATATGCGTAAACTATCCACATAGGCACACATACACACACTGGAGCAGCCAAGGTATACAACAGTCCGTATAACTTTCTTTCAGTAGTTTCAATTGTTGAAAATATCGTAGATAGTGATTAGCTTTGTTATTATTTCAGTTCAATGCCAAGTGGTAAATATATATTTATATATATATATATATATTAATGTTGAATATGGTTCATATTATGTAGGCAGATAAATATCACCAGCTTAGCTTTTTCTTCTTCTTCTCATGTACTGCCTGACTTACTGTACAGCAATGTTAGGTAGGTTGGTGTCGGTTTCGGTGTTGGTGTTTATCACTTCTTCTGTACAAACACACAGAAAAAAACACTGCACTCAGATATGAAAAGCCTAGGTGATCCCATAATCTTTTACGAATTACTTAGATAATGTGTCCCAGTAATTCTACTCCCACGCAAACAATATATATATATTGTTTGTTTTTAACCCTCTCTCTCAAACACTATCATACTATAGATTCGATATTTGCCACCAACTATTGTGTGTAATGACCTTGTTAAGAATTGTGCTTCAGGTAACCAATCACATAAGAGAATATTCGCTAATATTGTACAATATATACATACATTAACGTACAAAATAAATGTCTGTGTATACGTAATTACTGAAAAGTATGCAGTTGGTCTGAAATAACAGTTCAATGATGTTGATAGTGATGATGATGATGAGACATAGGAAATGGATTGGTCATCAATAAAAACCAAATAATAGTGTTAACTTATTTTAATTTGTCTGTTGGCTGGCTAGCTTCATTGCTCTGACATTTACAACATTAACACACTCACACTTTAAGTATATCAGAAAAAAACAAACATATGCACCTGTTCTATTCATAATATACACATGTGCACATAAATCGACATCTCCATGCGCGTAAGCGATTGTTAGTCGACCTTAGAAATAATGCGATAGTAATAATACAACAACACAGCTATATACCCAACATCGTCTGGGATATAGAAAGAAAATTTTTTGGCAATCGTATACAAGTATGTGTGTGTGTGTGTACATGCGTGTGTTATTTATCAGTAGCCCTTCATTTTGATCGATTGCAGTGTTGTGACTAGGAGAAAAATCTTACTGCTCCGGTCAATTCTAAAAACTTCACAAAACCATAAAGCACATTAAATTCAAGCAAGGCAGCTGAGAGTGGGATTTTGATAACTACTACTGACCGTAAAATTCTGAATCCAACAAACACAGAAATCCATCCTCACTTCTGACCGAATGGAACTCATTGGTCACGACTTCTCACTACACCTCCAGGAAATTGCGTCCAGTAGGAAGTCACTAGTGAGCATCAGATTAATTAACAAGAGTCGATTCGGAAGGATTTGATTTGTTTTTTCTCGAGTTAGACCATGGATTGATATCAGTGAGAGAACCATTGAAAACCATCCAGGGAGTACTGGACAGCTGTTTCATGCTAGTTCGGGACTCATCGGCAGTGCGCATCCACTGGCCACTGAATCGGGTCCCAGTGGTTGAATGGTATACGAGCTTGCCTTGTAACCGGAAGGTCCTGGGTTCGAACCCCAGTGGGTGCGTACTTCCGATGATTCCCGAACTAGCATGAAACAGCTGTCCAGTATTCACTGGTTTTCAATTGTTCTCTAACTGATATCGATCTCTGATCCAACTCGAAAAAAACAAAGAAACAAATCAACTCTTGAAAACACAGAAATGACTGGTTTGATTTGATTTTTGAAATTCGTGAGGATTCAAATTTTTGAATAATGGCAGTACAGATATAATAATAATAATAATCGCTTCTTATCTAGCAATAATTTTTGCTAGAGAATGGAATTTTCAACGTTCTGTATGTTGCAACAGTTTATCTCCGATTACGAATCAATAAATACATAAAGTAGTATGAATAATAAAATCACTGAAAGTTAATAGGAGAATAAAAAATGCGACAATAATGCTGGTAATAAGTTGCTATTTGTGTACAGATTATAAAGCATGTTTATGAGCTCTTTTTTGAAATTTGTCTCTTCACACAACACTCACGCTAAATATGGTGTGATTGGGTTCTTACATTTTGCCATGTGCGAATAAATTCATATGAAATTTCTTCTGGCTTTAACCGAAAACATACATCGAGAGCGATGAGAATAAAGACGTTACTAAGGCCAAATGCTTGCAAGAATCAAACTGTCTATCAACAATAATGTCAATTAGTTGGGTCAAAGGTACACTGCTAACCGTCGCCATAGCCTTCAAAGCTCTACACATAATATAACATAGTCTTTTTTGAGAAGCTCACGGGAGAATAAAAGGGAAGAATAAAGAAAAATGGGCAGAATACATGAACTTATAAATTGTATGCGAAGAGGTAGAGTTAGACCAACTTCCTTAAATCATAAGTCAGATTAAAGGTTTTCTGAGAAGTTATCAAGATATGAGACGACCAACAAAGATTGGAAGAGAAACTGATACCAAGATAAATGATATTCACTTTATTTCCTACCGCAGCGCCGTGGATTTACGGTGCCAAATCAGTCCACTCAGGTCTTTTTCGTACCTGAAACTAAAATTAATCGTTTGGCATTTAGAGGGAATCCGTTTAAGACCATTTGAGTAATACTATTGGTTAACATCAGATAAGAAACTACTCATATATGAACAGTCACATACAGAAACGTCTGGGACAGAAATTGATAGATCATTAGTAGAGCAGGCACATCCTATGACGAGTCCCATTCTGGATTCCCCTGCTAATCACCACCCACAAAATTAGATCATCAGTATATTTAATTAACATTAGGAGAATGCAATCCAAAGAGAAAGAAAAACAAATGGAGATAGTACAGCACCTTGAGACACACCAGCTACTGTAAGCAAATCATTGGAACCTTTCCCGTTGGAAACTGTATGTTGTTTCCCATCTCAAAAATGGAGAGGCAACCACCTCGTAATCCAGGACCCAGTGCATGCTGAAGTCAGCTTGCTTAGTAAAAGTGCTCTAGGAATAAAATTGAAAGCAACAATGTAGTCTACAAAGGTGGAGTGGAAAAACTTTGCACCTTTATCTAGAATGGAAACAGTATAATGGTCCAGCACAACATGACCATCTAAAGTGCTTCTACTACATTTATAAGCGAGTTGCTTGGGATCGCTGAAAGATTTTAAAGAGAATTTACAAACTGGCAACACAAATTTTCTTCATAGTATTCAGAAATAGAGAAGTGATATCGACCGGTCAAAACCTTAAACCTAATCCAGAAATGATTTCGGTGCAAGCACAATCTTCATCTCTTTCCAAGCAACAGATTTATATCAATTATTTGTTTTGCTATCGACAATAGGGTTGATATTCTGTAACCAGCGTTTACCTGGGTTTCAGAATTCAATTGATTTTCAAACTACCAATCGATTACATATTTTCTCATCAGCATATCCTTGGTTCATAACTGGCATGGCAAAAAACATTGGTTCGAAGCTGGATGACAGCCTACCGCAAATGAATATATATATATATTCTGTACTATTGTTCTACACATTTTCCAAACAATTATCGAAATTGGGAAATGAGTGCCATTTTGGCTAACTTTTCAAATATGTTCTACATTGCAGGTGATTAAATGTTGGCCTTTTAGCTGCTGCTGCTGGTTGCTGCTGCTGGATTCAACATAGAACTTGGCACCGAAGTGCAGCAGTTCGAGTTGCCTTATAGCTATAATAGGCAAACAAGGCTGCCTATTATCACGGATGATATTCTTAATCGTGTAGGACTGGATTGTGCGGCACACTGTACGTACCAAGTGAGAAGGCAGAAATACGGTGCACTGACAGATACGAAGACTGTAGAAGACTTTTATTTTATTTCATTTTTTTACTATAGCTTGATTCCACTCCATATTTGTTGGTACAAGTATGGCACTTTCAGCATGTGATATCGGTAGCCCAAATTTACTAGGCCGACCAATTGATATCAGGTGTGCGTCGGTTGAGAGGCGAATCCCAGACCATGTGCATGGTCGGTGAGAGTCCTGACCCCTGAATTTGGCGGGTGGGTAATTTATGTTTAGTGTCACACAAACAGTTATTTGAATGACAGGTAGGGAATAAAAATAACCACCAGACATAAACAAATATGAACGGTAGTCGAAATGTATGCAGCAAAATAAGCGTGTTGATATAAAAACAAATATGCGAAACAAAAGCAAAGGCTTTCAAGAGTTAGTTTGTAGGGATTTGATTGGTCTCAGGTTTGAACAGGTACTGACATCAGTTAGAGAAGTATTGGAAACCATCCAGGGAGTACTGGACAGCTGTTTCTTTCTAGTGTCCGACTCATCAATGAAATTGGCTGGCTGTCGTGCTTTATCCATCATCAAGTTGGATTTGATGGGCCCATTGGCTGGATGGTCAACGACCTCGCCTCGTAACCTGAAGGTTCAGAGGTTTCCTGTATGTGCCACCTGAGAGTTGCAAGCTAGGACGAAACAACTGTTCAGAACTTCCAGTTGGGTTTTCATGGTTCTCTAACCGATATCAATCGTGATCAAACTAGAAACAAAACAAAAACCACAAATGAGCTGGATTTATCTTGACTAAACTCCATAACGATATATATATATAACGTGAATCTTCAGAATTTGGAAAAAATGGGCAGTTAGATTCTATCCCAATGACCGAATAGTCAACGAGCTCAGCTTGTAGCCTGAAAATCGTGGGTCCCACTCCCGATACGATGAATTTAAGCACTCTTAGACAGACGAGCACTTTTTAGTTGTGATGTGGGAGAAGGATAGAAAACTCAGTGACAGAGATCATCTTTTCCGGTCACTTCATTTCATCTAAATGCCTGTCATGGTTTTTTTG